AAACATATATCTTTACTATAAATACTCCGCGGTCGTCTCGAAGGATGAAACGTCAAAAAAAGACAATTTGCTTCAGAAGAAAAGAAAGACGAAAACAATAACTTAGTCTACGCCACTCTGTACACCTGTCACTTAGTCTTGATAAGTGAAACATCCCGTTTATTTCAGCAACTATGACGATTATATTTACGCAGCCGTTGTGCTAACTCTGCCGTCCAGCCTCATTTTCTGATTAGTTTCTTTTTATTCTCTGCTCTTTATCATTTCTGAAAGATAAAATGGATACGCAAAAATCATTTTTGGTCCAGTCGAGCATCAAAAGCTATTTCTTTTCTATGTATGACATTTTGAATTAGCTTTTTTAGTACTTTGAACTGCACATTCGAAAATAAGACGGCATTGCTTTTTTTAAAGAAAAGAAATTGTGATAAGCACTGTTTGCATCTCTGTTGAAGTTTGCAAGATAACAACGTCTGCTTATGTGTTCTAGTACTCTCCCCATGGCCCCTTATGTTGCTACTAAGAAGAAGACAATTGATTTAGAACTGAGGTTAATATTTATGTCAAAAGCTTGTTTGGATCTCTATTGCGTCTGAAACTGCAAGAGAATGATCCTAAACACTATCAATTGCGGTGAGCGGTCGCACTACTGAAAAGTCTTTTAAGTTGTCTGCAAGCTTGTTTTGCTTAACTGAAATGTTCTGCATTGAGCGCATAAAGCACATTCGCAGTGCTGATGCCTCATCTCCTTTTCGGGCCGGCTCATTGCTGGAGCGCCATATCGATCGTGCACGTCGCATTTGTCGAAGTGTAGCAGGCCGTTGTCCACTATTGAGTGTTCTAGGCTGGTTTGCCTTTATGGACCCTTCGTGCGTACCGGAATGGCTGCATCATTCGTCAGCAGCTATTTTTACCGCACCGCAATCAGAAGCGCTGCCTTATTTCTGCTCTACGCTGCATCCGCTAGCATTCTCTATTGACTTCGACAGCCTCAATCGACACGCGATCAATGTTCGTGTCCGCTTTTGTATAGTCGCGCATTCCTCACGCTCTCCTGTTTCTCACTGCGCTCGCGCTGCTCTCCACGTGGCGCCTCGTTTGCGACGAGGAGGTCTTACTGTACTACCTTTTTACTTCTTTCCCTCCCTTTTATTTGTATCCCAGCTTAGCTCCATAATCTGTGTCAAGCACTTTCAGAATTCGATGCTGTTGTTGCGTCGGAGATCGTCGAACACGTAGCAGATCTTGATGCTTTTGTTGGAGGATGCGCTCGTCTGGCGAAATCCGGTGCTCCGCTATTTTTCACGACAATTAATAGAACACTCGCCAGTAGGGTTCTCGCAATTTGGGTAGCTGAGGTGAATTATACATACTGCTTCATTATTTTCCTTGTTTTATATTTAATCTACAGAGTTTTTATAACAATTCCTAGATTTCATTGGCAAACGTCAAAAATTTTTCTTCTCACAATAGATAACTTTATTGCTTTTTTTAAAGCATATTCTCAAGCAGTTGCTGCGAATTCTACTTTCTATAAAAATGCCAGATCAATAGGTAATACCTGGTATATGATCTACATCAGAATCTAAAATAGTAAATTTTGCTGCCGTTAGTGTAACTCTAGTTGGAACATAAAGATCTGTCTACGGTAAGGTTTTTTTTT